CCAGTTCATGGGGAAAGATACAAATGTGAATTGAGATGCTTATGTCTGAATGTGTTTCAGTGTGCTTCTAAAACTTCCTTTGTTTTAGTGCTTTCCTGTTCAGAAGAATATCATTGTTTTCCCAAGCTGTATATACCAGGCTTGGAGCAGCACCCTCCATGTATTCCAAGGACTAAATATTTTCTGGACATGATCCAAGATTGTTGCTAGGCCTGTTTTTCCTCTCATTTTCTACAACTCCTCAGGGAAAACTGGGTAATCACAGTAGGCTAGGGGAAAGAAGGCTACAGCAAGTAAAATTTGAAGCTGAAATAAATCTGCAAAAACATGGAAATAACATCATTTCATGCAACTCAAAATTTAAAACCATTAAACATTTCCCATGTTATAAAAAAACATGTCCCAAAATGTTTTTATAAGCTTCAGTATATGCTTTTCTCTTTCACAAGCTTCTCTGTGTTGTTTTCCTTCTGTTCTTTCTTGATCACCCGACATTTACCTGTCCTGACTGACTTCTACGTGACAACTCATTTTTATCTAATATTCTTTCAAATAATAGCTTTAGGTATGTAGATTAAAATTGTATCCAAATTAACTTATTGTAATTGCACTTACAAAAGCACAGCTATCTGTAAATCAAGAGAAGCCTTTGTTCCTTCACTTCTCTTACGGACATGCGCACACTATCCACAGATATTCACAGGCATTTCTGTTTTGAAAGATGTCCTGCCTCCAGTGGTAGTTCCATACACAGTCATGGGTTTCCAAATGTACCAAAAATATCTTAGTCAAAACTGGATTTATTCTGCCACTTATATTTTAACCTCATATTTACCATTCTATGTAATAGAAAGTATTTAAATTCTTTAAGCTATGAAACAAAAAATTACAAGTTAAATCTTGTGCTATTTACTAAATTTTCATTGGTTTATCTGCCATGATATATAGGTCATGGGGAAAATACCGTGGCGATTTTCTTTTTAAGTCTTTTGGTGCAAATTAATTACTTGGAAAAACTGATTTTTCTGTGATTAAAATATTCTGCCTTTGAATATGTCACTTTCAGACAATCTTCATCTAATTCCAGTTGAATAAAATTAAAACTGAGAATAGACAATGTCTATGTTTTGAAAAAAATCAAATATATGAGTGTTAAGGTGTGTTTGGGGGAATTGGCTTTAATTTTTAATTGAAGATGAAACAAAATGAATAAGCCTGACTTAATCCAGCCATTTTGATGGACTAAATCATAATCACAAAGAGAGGCTTCCATTTCTCCTAGGGGAAAAAAATAGTAGTGTTTCTTTAAGAATGTAACATCCTCAGATCCTTAGTGCATCCTGTGTAGAAAAGCAGCTTGTCTTCCAGAAGCCATGAATGGCTGGCTGACTTTGCTTTCAGCAGTCCCTTTTAATACTGAGTTCAGAAGAAAAGCTTCCAAAGCTGCCTTCATATTTTGATTTATGAAATATTTAGTGGCATCACTATGGTATTGCCACTAAAATACTAACATTTTATTTAATATTTTTCTTTATTTAATTAGAAAGTGAATGTTACAAGAATATGCATTTTCCCACAGGACTCAACATTGTTAGCAATTGATCTTTCTACTATCATCTCTTCCCCACTGTGGAGAGCAAGACCAATAAAATGGCACAGGTCCAGTCAAGATAGCATAAAGTGTATAAAATGAAATGGAATCACTCGTGTCAACCAACATGACTGCCAATCAGCCATGATACGTTGGCTCAAGAGGGAAACTATCTAAGTCAAGCTAGACACAGCCAGCAAGGAGACACACCTAAGGTAACTGCACATGTGGTCTTAACAGCTGTGTCTGCAGAGCAGAACTACCCATAGATTCCCCACTTGCCATCAGGAGTACCAAGACACTTATCAACAGACCCACAAGGACGGAGTACACCACTCTCAAAGTGTAACTGAGGCAGGCTCCAGACCACTGATGAGACAGCAGAGCTCCGCACAGGAGAGTGCTGTTCCACACCATACTGATCTCTCTTAGCATCAGCCATCGGAGGCTGTGCCCTGCTGGACTGAGGACTTCATCTGCCCTGCTGCCCACCTGACTCCAGAGATCATTCCTTGAAAGATGCTGACAACTCCCTTGCTCACTGTGCTAACGGACTAATACACGTGATCACTTGCTAATAGTTCGATTCCTTTGGGTTATTTCGTGGATTTGTTCTGGACTGCTCATTTATTTTGTCAACAAACAGCAGGTCTTTATCTGACTGCAAAATGCCCCTCTGTTGAGGGTGCCAGTGTGGCCTAGTCAGTGGAGCCTTAAATAAGCACTCTAGAAATAGCTTTTCTGTTCTGATGGCAGTTAATTCAGGAAAACCAGTTTGAGGTCTGTCTCTACCCTTGTTTCCATCTGTGAGATGAGATGTAACATCATTAACCTAGGTATTGCTCAGCTGAATTGCCTTAATAGAGGATTTTAACAAGTGATCGATTGCAGAATTCTGTAGAATGAGTGAGGTGTAGAGAAAAACAGGGAAAAAAATTACCAAATGTCTCCTTGTGGCATAAAAACTTGAGTCTGGCTGATTTTTTTACTCCCATCATCAACTTTAATATGATGAACTCTTAAATATCAAAACAAAATACATAAATGCCAAAACCCAGGAGAAAAAGAGCAGTAACTAGAATCTTGCAGCAGTCTTGTCTCAGGAGAGGCTGCTGGTTCTACCTCTGCTATTGACTGTGATAAACATAAGAGTTGGAATCAATAGGAAGATAAGGGAAATACAATGCCAACATATTAAGAGTTACAGTTTATATATAGCAAGGATATGAAAAAAATAGAAGGTGTCATTAAAATCTGAAAACATGCTTAAAATCAGAAAGAGCAAACTAATTGAAAATGTACTGCAGGAAGCAAATACTCAAACTGAGGATGAATATATAGCCCTTAATGTATTGTCATTACTACAGAAATTAGCTTTTTGAATAAACTAATTTTTTAATATGTTTGTGTGTTGGATTACATGGTATATTATTTAGAGTATAAGATTTTAAAGAAGAATAATATGGTAACACATGTATTATATGTGTGAATAAGAAGTTTATAATGTAAAATGAAAATATTAAAATGTGCTACACAAATATGGATAAATTTATAAATTATTTGTTTAGAACTATTAATAGAAGTCAAATTTATAGAACCTTTTTTATTACCACATATTTTACATATGATACTAATCTTGCTTTCCCATGCTTTTAATTTAATGCAAATTATATATAAATACATATACACACACATTTAGATAATGGGATAATAACCAGCAGACAATACACTTAAAATAACTAAAATTATGTTGTAAATTTAAGTTTAATTTATCTATTATAAACTATAAATTACTATTTTTTTAATTTAGTAAATTGTATTATTTAGCTTATGTAAATAATAAAAATACTGATATGATAGAAGAGCTGATCTACATATTTTTACCAGCAGAATATGAAGATTTGACATAATACTAGCTAACCAAGTTTTGCATTCACTGATAAATTGGGTTGCCATAGCAAGCCCATAATCACTGAGTTTCTAAGCAACCTAAGACTCCACAGACTTCCGATACTAAGGAGTCCACTGATCTTTCATCATCCTTGAGGAAGAAATATGAAAACTTGTAGTATCCTAGTCAATGAAGGACTTCCCAATTACTCAGTAAATCAGTGATCCCTATAAAGTCTCCCCTGTATTGATAGCCATTTATTTACTAATATTCATACTAATATTCATACTAATATTCCAGTCCTTGCCTATGTTAAACATTTTCTTCAATGCCCTATCTTCACAATGAGGCAAACAATTGCTTCCAGTGCTCCCTTTCAATTCATAAGGCTCAATTTCCAACTATTTAAGATAATCACATGAAATAAAGTTGAGGCATATAATACTGTTTGTCTCTATAGAACATTATACAGTGATGCAGGTCAAAATAAAATATCATTACTAGAAATGGTCATATGCCACCATAAAATAATTTTGTATGGAACCTGTAAAATTTTACTTAATGCCAATACCTGATTTTCTGTGCCTCCCATGATCATTCTATGTAGCTCATTATTACAAAGAATAAACATCATAGGAATGATTTGCAAATTGAAAACTGGCTCCTCTTAATGGTTAATTTTTTAATGTTATTTCCTATATCTATTGCACCAAAGATGCCGGAACCCAAGTCAGGTTTACAATATCATGATGGAGTTTTCTAACCTTGCACTAACATAAAGTTGCAAAGTCACCTTTCAAGCAGGTCTCAACAGCCACCTGTTGGCCAGAGCCATTCCAGGAATTCTAGCAGTAAAACCTGCCTGTGTCCTCTACTGTTTACTGTTGACTATAAGAAGTATGTGGGGGGGGTGGGGGGGGCTGGAGATAGATTCTTCTTCATGATTGGGAAGACAACCACTCTGCCTTACAATCTTAATATAATAGAGTCCAAACCAAAAGCTACATAATGATATTATAATTGCATCTTCAGGTAAAAAGCAACCATCTACAAATTAATTGTCTTCCTGAGTATGTTCTTAAGAATAAAAAATAGCTGCACAATAAATTTTCACTTTTAGTATGGTTTTCTATTAAGATATAATTGTATTGCTCCATGTATGTAAGTACATGTATGTTGGAGGGTATGGATAATTTCAAATAATCTTGAATACCTTCTTACTACTTACTACTGTAGTTATTACTGACAAGATAATAGTATAGTTACTCCACCTGACCAATTCCTTCCATTTTCTTTTAGATACAAGTTCTCATCTCAAAGCTTGAGACAGAAGGCCTGAAAGTCTACAATATCTCATATACTCTATTTCCCAAGAGAAGGAAAAATGGAAGTATAGCTTTAAATGGACAAGAACAAAGCAAAAATCAGATCGAAGAGATTTTAGTATTGCAGGCACAAGTCTTGAGTCCTACATTGTTATGTAAAATAAGTTTACAATGATTCCATAGGCATAATTACCAGTTAGAAGTCCAATGAAGAAGCGCAAAGCCCCCAATGTTAATGCACCTTCAAAAGGCTGGTTGGAAGACAACAGGATAAACACTGATGACTGGTTGTGTTATCCCCAAGTACTGGGTCAAATCACTGCTGTACATCAGTCAGTCCCACCTCCAAGTAGCCAAGAATGGCTATGGAATTTTGATTGGCACTCCAGTGAGGCAGTGGGATTTCTAAACCAAAGCAAACCCTGCAGGCAGTGTTTGCCAAGCTCTCCAGCTTGAAAAGGAGCTGCTCTTCACCCTGGTTCGTTCTTAAAAAAAAAGAAAGAAAGAAAGAAAGAAACAATTACTCTGTGACGTTTAAAAGAACACAGGAGTAGCTCCCTCTCCAGAGATATCCCTACTTATTTTCTCATAGCAATTCCCCTGTCTTTTTTATCCTGCGTCTTAGTTATAGGACTTTATAGTCCTAGGAGGAAACACATAGCAACATGCGCATGGGCATTTAAGATAAGGAACAAAAGCATCAATGGATATTCTAGCTGTGGAAATCTGGAGTGACATTAGGGCTTTTCAAAATGAAGAAGTTCAGATTTACAATAGTTACAACATTCTTTTGCCATATAAGAGAACTAAAACTGGTAATATTTGGTGGTGATACTAATATTACGCAATTCATAAGAATAAAAAAATCAAAACAAAAATAAGGACACTCTCAAAACAAGTCAAACCATTACAGTCAATCCTAAATTAGACAAAAAAGATTTTTCCTATATCATTTAAGGTGATACTGTTTGGGGATTCATGTTAATGGTGTCCATTCTCATACACACATGTACTCAATGAGGATTTATGATGTGGTCACCGTGTGTCCAGAACTCTACCACAAAGAGGAAGAAAGCATTATCTCTACTGTGAGGTTTTCTATAATGTACTACAAATGCTTCCATATAAAACACAATGTGTGATTATTAAGTATTTTTAATCTGCCTTCTCAATATGGGTAGCTACCTAGTTGTGAATATTCATTTAAGACTTGTCTACTTAGAATATAACTGAAATCTATTAGTTAGTTCTTTATCTCCTAAAATCTAGAAAATTGCATAATAAATGTAACAATGGCATTTTCACAAGTGAAATTAATGGTTTCAAATACTTATGAATTGGCTATAAATATTACTGGCTAACACCTCCCCTTTACATCATAGGCTATAACAATCCACTTGCCTAAGGCTCAGTTCATAAGTGGCCCATTGTCTAGCCCTTGATTTCAGGGCATTCCTGGTTGCCTGACTAGATGGTTAACTTCCATAGTGTGAAGTGTGTGCCTCTGATTAATCCTCCACTGAAGAACTATTGGGACACCTAAAAGGAAAGGGAATGGAGACTTCAAGGAGCATATGGAAGAGTTGCTATTCAATTGCTTGTCAGTCAGAAGCCAGTCAGAGAGGGCTTTTCTGTTCCTGTTTTAGAGAGATCTATAACTCTTTTCTTATTATTTATTGTAGGTGCCAATATTTACTAAGAGAACCCATGTGGCCAAACTGGCTTGAATAGTTTAGCAAAACATTTTCGAGGAGCTCGTGTACTAGAGATGAAGTTCACACATGGAGACTATTCCACAGAAAGATTCTAGCTAGAAAACCACAAAGTCTCATGGGCTCATAGGACATTCACATTTATTCAGAAATAAATATCAGTTACTCAGTTCAAAGAACTTTTACCCATTTTTATGTATAATACATTTTTTTCTTCTTGTTCATGACCCTTATATTGCAGGAATTGAAAGAATCTTAAGAATCAGCAAGTCCTGATCATTTAACAGATGAGGTTTCAGAGATCTAGATAGCTGGAAATTCTTGCTCTATATTGCTTTGATTGTGACTAAGGAAGAAAAACAAGTATTTCTTCTAAAATATGAATTTCTTTTTCCTTATGTTTCCATTTTTTTCCAATGATACTCCTTTTAACAGACCTTTTTTCAGGTTGTGGACTAGTATTAGTTAAAGTATTGTTTTAATTTTTTATATATACCATTTCTCTTCTTTGTTCTTCTTCAATAATGCTAGTCAATTTAATATTAAGTTCCTGGATAATTTGAATAATTTACACCTGTTTTTGATTCCTATTTGCTGTACCCTGTTACTAAAGTTAATTTTTTAAACTATTCTGTTAAAATGCTCTTTTGATTTTTCAAATTTTGCTTTATTTTAAATATTTAAATTTTAAAAGCATTTAAATTAAATTATTACATGTAAAGATAAAAATATTTCCATTTAATGAATATATTCTGTTTCTTTCCCTTAAAGTGGGACAACTTGAAAAGTTCTAGGAAAGGATAAGGAAAAGGACAAATATTTATTAACACAACACCATTGGTCCATTGTCATGTTAAAATTCTTCCCTGTGTCATTATTTAAGTAGATAAAAAACTATAATTAGGTATTGTTAGCCACATTTTTATTGAGAATATAAATGACACAGGAGAAATTAGGTAAATAATAAGATTTCCAGAGTTTGTATGAAGTAGGTGATCTTAAACTTATGTATCCAGGTGACAAGCAGTATCAAAGCTTAGTTGAATGACATGGTCAAGCACAAGCATTTTCTTGCCCACATCAAATCCTTACCTTTTGTCAATATAAATCTCCCAGCAGATGCATTTTGCTTTGCTACTTTGATGTTTTAGAATTATTTCCATTACTTTTATATACAGATTATAGTTAAAACAACAAATTTATTCACTTGCTTGTTTAATACACTATTCTCCCTGTATACTGAGTATTTCTAGGACCGGAGATTATGAAAATCAATCAAATGAAACCCTAACTTTATGGAGTGATGGTCAGACAGCCATATAGAAAAAATATTATAAAATAGCAAAATAGACGGTATAAAGGAAGGTTTATGGTACAGCAGAAGACCTACAGAGAGGGGAGATTTTAGGAGCAGTGATAAGCTTCACAGAAGAATGAACCGATATTCCAGCTCTTTCATTGAGAATTAAGTTTGAGATCAATTTCCATGTGTTTCCCAACACAGAGAAGGGTATTGGTAGAGGATAGTTCTCTATCTTTAGAAAGACAGAAATTTGTACCAGAAGCCAGTGATTTCAAGGAAGAAAGTATAACGAGTTCATGAAGTAATGTTAAAATAAATAAGGGGAGAGAAAATTCATTAAAAATTGGTTGAGTGCCTGCTATATTCAGGAAATGTTGTGGAAATATATATATATACACACACACATGCACACACACATATGTATATATATACATATATACACATACATGTATATAGCTATATAGATATATACAGTTTTACATTACAACTTAATAGCAGTTTATATTAAACTGCTAAAAGTTATAACTTTGCTTGTAAAAAGAAACAGAAGTGAGAACTAAAACTTCTGCTTTAAAGCATGAAAATGTTACTTAAAGCTGAAAAAAGAAGAAAAACATGCTGAATGAATTTTACAAGTGTCTTTGTTTTGTTATTTGGTAATTTATAGATAAATCTTCATTTAAATCTAGAAAGTTAGGGAATATATATTATTATAAAATCATACTAACTTACTTGAAAATAATAAAGACAAAGGGTATATACATAATTTAGAAGCACTTTAATAACTTTTAAATCTAAAACTAGTTAGACTAAATATATCAAAAGGTAGTTTATGACAGTTACAGATGTCTTTGTTGCATTAAGTAATATAAATTTTAAAAAGATCTTGGTATATTTGTATGTCTCCTATGGATAGTCCTGTCATCTTACCCTAAATGTAAGGGGTTAGAAAAGGCAAATATTTACATTCAGGCTTAAGGAAACAAAAAACCTGACATTGTATGAATACTCATTCATGATAACATGGAAACCTAACTAATGTATTCTATGTTTAAAGAAATTAAATGCAAGGGGAAATTTATTTCCATTTGAAAGCCCAGAGGAAAAATATTTTTAAATAAAATTTCTTTGTTCTCCTATTTTTCACCCTAAAACATTATTAAAATATGGCTAGCCTCTATTGTAGCACTGTCATGGAAGTCAGCTTTTAATAAGTACTGATTTTCCTCTATTCCCCTTTATTGCCCTTACTTTAAAAGTCTTTTGACAATTCCAGATCACCCGTTTATAAATCTACCCTACAGGTGCCACCAAAGGATAATAATTTTTAGTCATATTCATTTCCAAGCTCTACTAACCTTAGCCAATGCAGACACAGCTTGACCACAGCCGACTGTGTGTGTAACCCTCGCTCTGGCTTCTGTCAGACAGTTTGTCCTGGAGTTTTTCTCCCACTTCTCTGTTGCTCAACTGGATTAGGTAATAAGAACCAGAGTCCTGCTCTCCTCTGTCAAATACATAACTTTCAAAGTCCCTGGGGGCAGGGACTAGACTTCTCTTCTGAACTTAAATGACCTTCAACATTGAAACCCACAAATAAATGTTTAAGTATATAGACAACTTCCCACAATAAGACACCAAGGCACATAATTATTTTTAATCTACTTGTAAATCCCACTTAAATGGCTATCTTATGATGCTTCCTCCTTTAGGCTAAGTACAACCAAAGCCATTTCTGGGGAGTATTTTCAAAATTCATTGTGTTTATCTCCAGAATCCCACCGAGGAACAGGGGCCGTGGTCTTGTTTTATGTTGACTGACTCTGAAAATAGTCACATCACCAATTTTATTCCTTGTAATATCACTAGGTATTTAATTCATGAAATAATCTTATCAAAAGCAAATTTTTTTGAAAAACCCAAACTGCATCATGTTATACTAATGGCTAACACTGAGAGTGGGTACTTACTACAGGTCAGATATCATTCTAAGAACTTTATGTGGATTATTTAAATTAAGAATCCATAACATGGCTAATGGTTGTCTTCATAACAACCATTTGAGGTAAGTATTATTGTTTTCCTAATATTACAAATGACAAAACTAGCAAAGCACTGAGAGACCAAAGGACCAGGAGGTTAAGTAAATTACTCAAGGTCAGAATGCTGAGCTTCAGTTTAATCAATTGTGATGCTTTTGTCTATAAGTAACAGAACACTCCAATGAAATCAGTGTGATATATTAGGTAACATATGTCTACTTACCAAACAATAAATATTAATAAACATTAATATTAATATTAAGTATCAGCTTCTAAAATGCTAGCTTTTCTTCAAAGTAGTCATTTAAAAATTTTGGGCTGTCTTGATAACACAATTATTTGATCAAAATTGCGTGTGTGTGTGTGTATGTGTGTATGTGTGTATGTAATCAACTCAAAATAAAGACCACAGAAATGCCACAAGATGT